TGACATTAATTTTTTCGCTTCACTATAAGATGGGTTATTGGAGAAAAAAATTATTTGCCTCACTTTCTAAGTTGATAATATGAATGAGGTTTTAATATTACAAAAGATTATACAGGAGATGGGTTAACTTCTTCAGCCCAAACTGTCCTATTTTTAAATGGTTCTCTCCAGTGTCCACTTTATTAGTATTAGTATTCGATTATGTGCGCATGCACAGATTTTAAATTATTATATAAGTTATATATATGAATATAATATTAAAATTATAAGTTAGATAATAATATCACATTTCAAATTTTTGTCATTAGTAAAAATGAACATTATAAAAGTATTCAACTTCATCAGTATATTAATTACATAAAATGAAATGGATAATGTAGTTTTTATATATTTTAGAGCTCCTCGCCTATTAATTATCTTAAAAATTATTATTATTATTATTATTATTATTATTATATATATTATTTATGAAATTTTAAGAGGTTTGGTTATACCACTAAAGTCAATTAGCTTATTAAAAAATACTTAAAAGCGATAACAAAACTTGCAATATAATTTTTTTACATTTATTGAACTTCCATATATTAGTTAGTGTCAATTATAATTGGTTAGTTTTAGTAATAACTATTATATAATAGAATCTATATATATATATAATAAGAATTAACATTTATAAAAAATAGTAACAAAAAACTAGGTCAGAATTTAATGCAGTCTATATATAGTAAGTTTTAATATTTTTCTTATTTTTTCTCTAAAATTCATACAGCATTAAATGCTACCTTAAATTTCGGGCTATAGTTCATTTTATTATTTAAAAAATCCGGTTAAGATTTATTAAGTGTGTATGTTTTTATTTTTATTTTTTTCTTAGAAACAACGAACAAAATTAAAATCTCGGTCTCTATATTTATAAAATCTCAACTCAAAATATAACAAAAGTATTAGAATCTCGGTCTTTATATTTGTGCCTTTGAAAAAAATTGAACGCTAAAAATATTCTTTAAATTGCATAATCAATCAATTAATATTAATTTTTTAAAAATTACTATGTTTATATTTTTATTAATATGCATAAAGTAAAAATACTTAATTCATCTTAAGATATATAATTTATAATCTTATTATACTATCATTTGGTGTAGACATTTATTATATGAATCCTAAAATATTTTTATTTCATAAAATTAAATATATTTAAAGAAAATAAGAAAATTTCTTCAGATCAATCAGGTGATTGAATTAGGGTACTGCCCATGTTGATTGAATTACTTTTAGGTGATATTTAAAATAGTCAAAAAACTTGACACAACTTGGTTGGTCCCAAGTGACTAAGTTATGAATCAGTTCGATCACACCAAATCGATTATTGAACCTAAATATAAATTTTATATTGAAAATATTTTATTACGTGAATGTGATGTAGTTCAAATTTCAAATAATCGTATTAATAATACTTTTATGACAACATGTTTAATGATTAATGAATATTTATATATCATTTTATTAATATTTATGTGAATAAAAAATATTTTATTATAATATTTATTGATGTACATTAAATATAAGATTCTCAGAACTGGACCGTTTCGACATCAAGCTATTTTATTAAATAATTTGTGGTTTGTTCAGATTTTAATTTATAAACATTTTAATATATATATATATATATATATATAGTATTTTTTGTAATAAACTTAAACAAAATGTGTTACTTGGATATTTAAAAAATTTATAAATTCAAATGTTTAAATCAATTGATAAATAATTTATAAATCTCTATTTTATTTAATATGTAATTTTATTTAAAATAATTTTAAATATAATAAAATTTATTTAAAAAATCGTGTCGATCCTACAAATCCAACCGACTGGTGTTGACAGATTCAAAAGCAAATATTTTATTTAAGTGAACTAGACTGGTTATAAATCGGTTTTTCGTTCATCCGGTCGGACTGTGTCCAACTCGGTTTAATGTAAAAACAATACATATATCATGATTAATGTTATTATATATTTAATTTATAATACAATCGTAATATTGTTTTCTCGTGCATTGCACGGGCCACGCACTAGTAAATAAAAATATGATTACACTTTCATTAACTATTGTTAAAAAAATCAATGATTATGAAATATTATGTTACCAAATACAATAGACATTTTTTTTTTCTTTCACTAATCAATTGGGGTTTTTAAAGGATTACATGTCCCTGATTTGGAAAACAAATTTCATGCATTGGTATAAATATTTGTAAGAATTGGTATTGATACAAACACTTTGTTATTAATCGTAAGACCGTAAATATTTACAAAACGTGTAGAATATATGTAAATTGGCCTTTTATTAATAGGTTTGCTAGCAATTATATATATATAAATATAAATTTTCCACAAGGCCTAGAAGATGAATCCAAGTAGATATATATGGGCCCAAACCCAATTATTGAGATGTACAATACCAGCCCAAATAGTTAACCAACTGATTGAAAAGCAAATGTGAAATTAGGACTATAGTGTGAGTGTTAACCTGTTTTAACGCATTGGGTCGGGCCTGAAGTAGACCATTTTAATTCACTCACTTATTATTCTTAAGCCGTATGAATAATGTATTTTTGTGAAATAATTGGAAATGGGTTTTTTTAGATCTTTAAAATGGGAAATGTTACAATCCCGTTACGGAATTTCATCGGAATTTGTAACCGTTAGATTATCATATAACCGTCGTGAATAGTTGATCTAACGGTTATCAATTCCGGTAGAATGGTTTCTTAACGGAACTGTAGAATCTCCCATTAAAAATATTGTGCCCGAAATAGTAGGGGAAACAAATCATCAATGATGTCAACACAATGCAATGTTGACGTGTGACGTATATGCATTTTCACCTATATAATTCGTTTTATCATTTATGTCAAAGCGAAATGAACCCAAGACAAAAACAATGCGAGATGAAAAAGGAAAGACAAAATCATTTGAGTAAAAAAAGAATTACATATAGTATAATATAGTGATTATTAATATATGTGTTGTAATTAATGCCAATTATCATNTTTATTTTTTTTTCCTCTCTCTCTCTCTCTCTGGAAAGGCTCACAATGAAGTGTTGATTATTACGAGCACCATCATCACCAGTGATAGAAGTAATAATACCATCTTTTTAGTTTCAAGGTATCATGATATGTTAGTTTATGTATATATTTTCTTATGTAGTTGTGAGTATAGTGGAATGGATACTAGCGAATAATTAAACCCTAATAGTTAAAATATTATTCAATGTCTAAATCTAATTTTACTAATTATTACTATAATTTCGTTTCTTAATTAGTGTCAACGTGTCGTGCCCTTTCGTATTTTGAGGGGACAAAAATATTCAACTTACAAGTTACAAATACGTTGTGATAATCTTAGCTCATTCATAAAAATTAAAAAAATTGGAACAAATGTATTTGACTTTGTTCCATATAATAATGTTTGACCATTAAATTGGTGACATGATCGTCTAAATTGATAAATAATCAAAAATTTTAAAATTAATAATATGGAAGTGTGGTCAGATAGACGTCAAAAATTTCTTCATATATAAGTCACGATACCGCAATGATTGATTGAGCCATGTTGAAATTTCACACTTTACATCAGGTTTGCACGCCTGAATTGAAATTTTGATATTATGATTAATAACTTATTTTTACATGAAACTAAAATAATAATAATAATAAGTCAATAAACTAAAGTCAGAGTAAAATATAAATAGTCATTCTGCATATTTTATTTCATTCGAAATTTTAATAAAAAGATTATATGAAGAAATTAAAGATTATATGAAGTTCGGGAAATTAAATACAGCTTTGTAATCCTCTTTGTGTAAGTTCATGAGCCACTCTACAAACTTATAAAATTTAGACCAATAACTATATATTGATAAAGAAATTTGGGAGGTCGCGTATAAATGAATTTTTTCAATATTGTCGGTAACTGTAATGAAACCACTAATTTTTAATAACCGTTGGATTAAAAACCGATATCTATACTGCAGTCATTGAAGTCCAACTGTATAAATATATAATTAAAAAGTTCACGAGGTTACCAACTAAAGTTACTAATTTTACTATTTAGTGTATTAATTGTTGCAATTTTGAATAGTGTAGTTTTTAAATTAAATCGAGAATCTGGAAGCGATTTCTCAGGTCAAGACAAAAGCATTTTACATTTACAAGTTTTTCATTCAATAAATCGCAAACTTGACGAAAGCAGTTTACATTTTCAAGTTTTCTATTCAAATAGAAAACTTGAATTTGGAGAGTAAAACTTCACCAAATGAAAATCCGTTTTTGGTTTGAACTTAGAACGTTAAGAAAGTTGCAGATTTGAAGTTTGAAGGATATTTTGTCTCAATATATATACCCAATATTAATTTAAATTTTTTTTTTTTTTTTCCTTTTCATTACCTTTACTCCATTACCCATGAAATAATGTCTCTTTACTATACAAGAACTCAAGAAGAACATGACAAAAAGTGACACAAATTCTAAACCAATAATATCTTAATTAAATCATCACTATATGGCCTGATTAGTAATTATGGCAAACATATAATCATTGCTCATTATATATATATAGCTGCTCATGAGTTTGACTGATCGACTCGTTAAAACTTTAGGCTCGTAAATATTGATAAAAAGGTGGATGAAGTTCGTTTATTTTAATAAGCAGAGTTTAGTTCAACTCAATAAGGATCGAAGCCAAACGTAACTATAAAAAGCTCGAAATGACCTCATTTACAAACTCTAGTAATTACTTGAATTGCCATGATGATCAGCAATTTTGGTTAATCTTCATTTGTCCAGAGGTGCAAGATGGATGTATTCTGATATGTCAAATTGTAAATTATTCATTTCATCATATATGCTCGCCCAAGAAACGCTAATAAATTGAAAAGGCGACTCAAAAACCTTGTTTAACAGTCATAGCCAATCAAAGTTCATCATGAAAAAGGCCCTTACACTAGGAATGAAAATAAAAAATTCTTCCGGGGTAAAAAGGATAGAATCCTCAATTTAAAACATTGTTTCATTTCCATCGCCACATACATATAACCACCGTTTTTTCTTCCAACATAAAACACAACCAAGGTTTTATTTTTGAAGAAAATACCAGCGTAATTGAGGAAAATGAAACAGCGTTTTAAAATAGAATAATCCAATCCAAAAAACCAGACAACAAATATTAATTGCTATGTGTACAAAAGAAAATTCTTTCCAAAAGAAAGAAAATCTAAAAGAAAAAAAAAACGCTACAATATTTTCCCACCATATCATTAATGGTCTTAATATATATATATTTATAACTAGCTAGCTAAGTAGTGATTAATTATATATATAAATCAAGAAGCAGCAGCTTGTTGGGGTTTATCGTTCAAGTTGTTAGGGGCGGTGGCGGTGGCCACCCTCTCACAAGAAGGGCACATGGTAAGGGTTGTCGCCGGAAGTTGCATGTAAAAAGGCTGAGAAGCTTTAAGTGCTCTTAATTCCTGAAGCTCCTTTTGCAGCCTCCGATTTTCTTCAGTGAGCGTTTCGCAGCACTTTTTCAAGTACTCACAATCCACCTCTGTCTGCTTCAGTTTTGTCCTGTCACAGACAACACAATCAAAAGCCCACGTCTCATTAAATCATGCCAAATTATTGCCTCATTAATTTCTCACGAGAATCAAGAAACTATTCTACTTATTTAATGAAAGGCCCGGGGTTGGTGGTGCATAATTAATTTATTCATTGGTGAATTTCTTTTTCTCCGATTTTTTTTTTTTTTTTTTTGTTAACAAAATAAAAAAAATGAAAAAATTTAAATTAATGTTATACCTTGCTCTTCTGTTTTGGAACCATACTTCAACCTGGCGAGGACGAAGATTCAGCTGCTTCGCAAGAGCAAGCTTTTGTTTCTGCATTTTGGGCAACAATAAATTATCCTTAGTAATTAATTAGCAGGTTATTAAATAATTAATATATTTCCCAATTAGATGATATATATCACTAATTGAAATTTAGTCCTACACAAAATCTTCTTTCACGGGTAGAGATGCTTGCCAACTCTTAACAGGCAAATGCATATATATGCACAAATTAAACGTTATCTTGTCGCTAAATTAAAGGACTTATGAGTCATTTCTTTTAGTCATCGATCGCGTATACACAATTAAAAACTACAAAATTAACATCACATGAAATCACAACAATTTCTTTAAAAATAATTGGCATGGTAACATTACCCAAAAATAAAAATAAATTAAGAATTATTAATTGCGTAAATGAAAAAAACAAAAGGAGAGAAAAACTTACAGGGTTGAGTGTGTTATGTTCTTTGAAGCTCTCCTCAAGAAAAGCCGATTGCTCCTTACTAAGCCTCAGTTTTTTTCTACCCATCAATATTCCATTTTCTTCCTCATCACTCCCTCTCGACGGAGTCCCTCGATCCGCCTCCGGCCCGGCCTGTTCACTGGCGCTACTATTCATTTGCTCCAAATCCCTTTTCCCCCGATTTAAATCCGACCCGAATATCGAAAAATCCATTCGAAAAGACGGGGCCCCTTGTTGATTGTTGTTGTTGTTTGATGGCTGCTGAGTTTTGTGGACCGGTGAGAAAGGGAGGAGATCGAGCTGGACCGGCGCAGGATCTGACGAGCAGCCGTCGGAAAAACCCGGCTCCTTATAATCTCGGCCGATACTTTTTGCTTTACCTGCATCTTCATCTGTAGCCATGCAGAACCCTAAATCCTTGCCCAGGATTTGCTGCGATTTCTCGATAAACGAAAAGGGTTTTGGTGCGTCGCCCAAGCTCAAAGCTAACTCCATTTTTGACAAAAAGGAAATATGATGATCGAATAAAAAGAGAGGATTTTTAATTAATTTGGGAATTAAAGAGAGAGCTTGGCCAAGTCAAGTGGGGAGTGATATATCGATGATGAATTAATTCTATGATTCTTAAATAAGTGAAAGCATATGAGGATGAGCAATATTTAAGAGGGGCCTTTTAGGATGATTTTGGCTTATGCAGACTCAAAATATAAAGAAAGGGAAAATAAGGTTTGACAAAATGCACGTGAATATATTATATTATATTATGGGTTGTACTCTGCTAGAGCGTACCCATGCTTATGTGTGTGAGAGAGAGCAGGGGAGGTGGGGTAGGAATGGATTTATTTTGCCAACAAGTGCAATCATGTGAAATATTTCAGCTCTTTATTATTATTATTACTAGTACGTAACCCGTGCGATGCACGGGATGTAAAATTTAGAAGAATAATATAACCTCACGTGCATTAGGATCGAAATTGAAATCATTAAAATACATAGGAATATTGTTGAATCATAAAAAGTTCCGTAACAATCATATATTATTAAAAACCTCCTTGTACACAACATTTTGAGTTTGATTATTTGGTAACTCCTCATTATCACAAATTAATATTTTCAAAAGAGACAAATCTTAAAAATCAAACTAATATTTTTGGTGAACAAACTAATATTTTAGGATTGGTGAACAAACTAATATTTCAGGATTTCTAGGATTTGTCTCTTTTTGGTGAACAAACTAATATTTTAGGATTGGTTATATGAATAAAAAAGGCTACCTATTTTTGGTGTTCTTTTCATTTATTTTCATTCAAAATGACTTGTATAATGAAATCCGAATCTTAAGCCGAAATATTTAAAAAAAGAGTTTTTAAAAATTGAAAAGTCAAGGCAATCAGTTCAGATTAATTAAATGTCAAAGAATATCCGCTCCTTGAAATAAAGACGTGTGCTATCATTAACCAAATATTCGGTTATTGATATAGAGTGGTTACCAAAAATAGAACGTGATAAGGACGCTTCATGGAAATATCAATGGGATAAGGTCATAACAGATCGTTATACATTTTAACGATAAAAGCTCAGATGAAATGATTTATGATAATTATGTCGTAATTAATGAATTAATTAGATGTGTGAAAAGGACATAATTAATGAGAAGTGTGAAATGGACATAATTAATTAGAAGTGTGAAAAGGACAAAAACTTACCAGTTTTGGAAAATATTTAATGCAAATCCGACATTGACCATAATTTGACCTACTATTTTGGATAAATGTTAATTCTTATTATATAAGTATAGATTATTGTTATAGCATGATGATTTTTTCAAAAGTGTAAATAGACATGATATAAAAATATAATCATTAGTTTTATAGTTTTCTTTTGTTAGCTTTTATTTAAGGAAAATGATATATTATCAACTTAGTGTACAACTAGGTTGACAACGCAAATGAAAATAGTCAAAAAAATAAAAATAAAAAAATACATAAGTGGATGTTTCCACTTGTGTTGTCAACCTAGTTGTATATTAGGTTGACAATGTAGCATTTCTCTTTAAGGAAATATTATCAAACAATAGTATGGATAAATTAATCAAACCAAATTATAATTTAGTTTTTTTTTTTATTCAGTGACAAACTTAATTTTGGAATGTACTTCTAAATAGCATAATATTTGTCTTGTTTTATGAGCAGTTGATAAAAAAATCTCTTGTTTTCAAAATATTTTCATTGTATATCATTTGTACTATATGTGTAGGACTAGCAATGATGCAAATACATATGTAATGTGTTTTTTTTATATATTATAGTGTGATACGATTGTCAGGATTGTCGGAGGGTGAATTATAAGCTGTGGAGACAAAACATTCGGCAACTTGTAGTATGGTTCATATTAATTTTCTTGGTAGGTGTAAAGTCCATGGTTTTTATTTTTCACATAATTAAATAAAAATACTCATAATTTCTCCTCAGTATAGGCATGTGATTTCTTATAATTTATTTTAAAATATTATGATATTTATATGCATATCAATTTCAACTAATTAATTTATTTAGAATGAAACTGTGTTACAAGTTAAAACTAATATTTGACCATGTGCATTTGTACATATATAAATAAAATATTGTAGGTTATTTGTATGTATATAATATTAAAATTATAAGAATATAAGTTAGATAATAATATTAAATTTTAAACACGGAGTATTATAAATTATTTTTATGCATATAATATTAAAATTATAAGTTAGATAATGACGTTATGTTTTAAGATTTAATCATTAGTTAAATAGTACACAATTATTTGATTGAAGATAAATCGATCATTATATTGATTGCATATGTAGTTTGTAATTTCGAGGGATTGTGACCTATTAATAAGTTAAAAAGTATCAAACGTATCATAACAATTGCTTCTGTGGTTTTATAAATTTTACTATTACATTAAGATAAACTAGTTTATTTAAATAACAATCGCTTAATCAAATAAAAAAATATAATATTGATTTTAGAATAAATAATTTGAATAAAATTTTTTTACAATATAACTTTTTCTGTTTATATAACTTTCATATATCATTTAGTGTAAAATATAATTATTTATTTTAATAATAACTATTATATGATACAATAAAAAATATAATTATTATTCAATTGATATAATGTGTAGCGAATTTTATCTTAATTAACAAAAAAAAAAGTGCAAGAAAATCTTTAATCATTAATGGGATAGAGTGAATAAATGTAACAACAACAACAACAACAACAACAACAACAACAATAGTAATGATAATAATAAAATTATAACGGTTTTTGTGTTAAGAAAGTTGTCACATTGCCTCCTACTTATTTACACATCAATACACCATAATCTTTTTATTTTTTTTCTCTCTCCTCTCTATCATTTATTAAGACTAAAGTTTAATGAGGTAAAATTTATTAGCTAAAATTTATGATGTTTAATTTAATGATTAGCTAGCAATTATATATACTAGTATTCGACCCTATGCATTTGCACAAATATAAATAAAATATTATAAGCTATTTGTATGCATATAATATTCAAATTATAAGTTATATAGTGGTATTATGTTTTAAGCATAGAATATTATTAATCATATAATATTAAATTAAACGTTAGATAATGGTACTATGTTTTAAAATTTGATCATTGATTAAAATAAATAGTACATAACCATATCAGGCAATCGGGAGGCAAAACGCATAAAGGTCGACAAAGTTGAGTCGACCGAGCAAACGAAGCGAAGCAAAGTTCATTCTCGGTGTAATTGAGTGGATTCAAAACTGTATAATGGGAGTTGTGCATGAATCACTATATTGATTGCATAAAATGTAATAGATAATGTAATTTTTTTTTTTAATTTTGAGTGATCATGAATAATTAATTAGCTCAAAATTATTAAAGTTATTATAACAGTTGCTTATGCGATTTTAAGGAATTTTACTATGACATTAAAATAAATTAATTTATTTAAAAAATAATCGCTTGATCAGATAAAAAATATAATATAATTTTAAGATGATTAACTTGAACAAAAAGGCTTTACAATATAATTTTTTATGCTTATATAACTTTCATATATCATTTAGTGTAAAATATAATTATTAATTCTAATAATAACTATTATATAAATGTAACAGTTTTTATCTTAATTAACTTAAAAAAATGCAAGAAAATATTTTATCATTGATGAGATATTGTGGATTAATAAAAAAACAAAATAATAATAACAATAATAGTAATGGATTGTAACAATTATTGAAAGAAAAATGCCACTTAGGTTAAATTCATTAAATTTTATTTAATTATTTTTAGCAATTCTACATATATATAGATTGTACGAATAAATGATGTGGGGACAACATATACTTCATGAATTGTTGTAAATAATATTAAATTGCTAATTTCAGTACTTAAATATTTTTGTACCATAAGAAGTAATTTTAATATAATTTGTTCAGAATATTATTATTATTTTTTCAATTTTAATTGCTTTGTACCATAAGAAGTAATTTTAAAAATTTTGTACCACGTTAAGACGCACGGTCAAGGTTACAGAAAAAAAAAATGATAAAAATATTTTGAAAAATGAACAAGACGTTACTATATATAATAAACAAATATGAAAATATTATAATATATATAACAGTTAGTAATTAATAAACCTAAAAATGTTATCATGTTGATAAAGTAATAAAAAGTTACTATATTGAGCGAAAAGACATTTCGGCGGAAAGATATTGGGTGATTTTATTAAATTTCATGCCAGCAATTATTTATATATAAACTAAATATATTAGAGACAATACGGTTTTTGCCTTACCTAGCTTACAAATATATAAAATTTATTATAAGGTTAGGCAGTTGTACACTACTACTCCAAGTGCGCTATCAGACGGCTCACAATATGTAGGCTGTAGAGTGATAAATATTGTTGATTATAATTATGGCACAATAATTAAAAGTTAATTTTATATTAATTAGCTATTAACTAAAAGAAGAATAAGGGCACCTAGCAGAAAAGGTAACAATCTCATTAATGGTAACTTGAACTATATACATTTACTATTCTTATATATTGTATTATTTTCTGGTTGATGTGACAAAAGATTAGTATATTATACACAGTATGATACGATATTTTAATATATGATAGACGGACGCATTTTATAGTATTTATCATACATTGCCAAACATGATTATTTGAATGTCCAAATAAAGACTGCAAATCATTTGATGCATATGAAGTTGTTCCTTTCAATAATGGGTTTCATGATTGCAATAAGCATTAACAGAATACCACAACGCTAGTGGAGTAAAAATCAAATGAACTACTTACATACGTTCTATATATGCAACCGTTCTATAAACTTTATGAGTGACGATTTTTCATCTTATACACAGCCGAATTTTTTTACAATTTCTTTTTAGAGTGGAGTACTAGTTTTTTTTATTATTATTATTAAAAAGATTGCTCTAAAAAGCACGGACTTGTTGGAAATAATGGAAAGTGTGGTCGGATTAACCCGAAATTTTGGGCTTAACTAACTCCAAACAATATGTTTTACTTCGGCAGACAAACAGACCACGTTTCACTGTTTCCAGATAAAATGTCTTTGCAACAAACATGTGGTGAGAATAATAATAATAATAATAATAATGCTCTTGCATTTATTTTAATTTCTAAGCCAAAAGCCTTGGAAATTATCAAAATGACTCGCCTTGAGGTTA